AGACCTTCCACTCGCTCAGCGTGACGGGCAGGGTCGTGTCCTTCACCAGCTTCCCGCGCACGCAGGCGCGGGGGTTCTTCAGCTCCATGGTCTTGCGGCCGAAGAAGGGCGGCTTGGGGGGTGGCTGGGGAGAGAGCAGGGCTTTACTGGGAATCTAAAGCCTGGGCCCTTGCTGCCAGGGGCCCACCCAGCAATCTCCTCTGGCTTGCTCCCCCGCCACGGACCCTTCAGCTGCGAGGGCGCGGAGCCGGCAGGAGGCACGGGAGCAGCAGCAGACATGGGATCGGAAGGCTCCTAACTCCCAAGGGGCCCAGCGGCCTCACAGATGCTGTCCAGACGGCCCCCTTGCTGGCACCGAGGCCTGGGGGAGGCCGGAGCAGCCCCGCCGGCTGGCTGGCGGTTGCAGCATCAGTACGTGGCGGGGGAGCAGCGTGACACCCGAGTCACGGAGCATCTTGGCTGCTCTGCCCGGCCCTGAGCCCGCCGGCTTCTCTGCCAGCCCCACAGGTTTGAGCTGAGCGCTGGCAATCGTGCCCGTCCCGCGGGCTTCCCAGTCGCTGTCTGGCTGCAGGAGCTGCTCCTGCTGGGCCTGAGCTTTGTGGAGACTGGAGCCAGGGGCCCAGCCCTGGCGCAAACAGGCAGGCGCTGGGCTTTCCCAGGCCAGCGGCACCCTCCGGCGCTCACCTTGGGTGGCTTGTCCGTGGCCAGAGGCGGGAACAGCTTCCAGGCCGAGGGCACCCTCCACAGCGGCAGAGGCAGCGCTTTGATGTCTTCGTACGGGTTTTCTTTGGCAACATCTGGGAGAGCAGGGGACAAAGGGGATCCTGCCAGACCTGGTAGAAGCCTCCTTGCACCCGCACGGCGCCGAGGGCCCCAGATCCCTTCCACTCCAGCACCTGCCAGTGCAGGTGTCGCAGACAGGCCCCCCAGCTTGACCCGTGGCACCAGATCCTCCAACAGCCGCCCACTCGACCACGCTCGCAGGCACCAGCCTTGGAACGCAGCCCGGCCCTGCCCCCAAAGCTGCAAAGACCACGTGTGTGCGGCGCTCCCTCCCTCCCTCACCCCTGCCTGTGAGCCCCGGGGGTTTGGCCCCACAACATGATGCCCGGAGAGGACCCCCTTGCCCCCCACCCTCAGGCACATACAGACAACGTCCTCGTAGAGGTTGTCCTCCGACTGTGTGTAGTAGAGCCTGGACCCCGCAGTGCCGTTCGTCTCCTGGGCCTTGGGGGTGCCGGCAGCCGCCCTCCGACTGCGGAAGTCCTGGACATCCTCGAACTCGAAGGATTTCCTGCAAGGGGCCAAGAGGGTTTGCTCAGCTTTGTCTCCGGCTACACAGACCGAGTCCTGTCCCCTGCCCAGGCCAGCAGCACCTCGTGCTCCCGCCGGTCGTACCACGTCCCTGGACAGGCTTCTGGAGCCGGCACAGGGGATCCCCAGCATGGACTGGCCCGGCAGAGGGTGACGCTCCCAGCACGCAAGCGCCAGAGACTCTGGGGCTGAAGCCCTGTCCAGGACAAGTGGAGGAGGACCCCCCGCCACCGACAAAGGGGTGACCCCTGGTGCTCCCACTCCTGGAGCGGTGCCGGGAACCCACTGGTGCCTGGCGCGTGCCAGCCGCTTGTGCCCGTGCCAGCCTACCTCTGGGCCCGGCCGCGGATTCTCCTGGCGGGGCAGTGCTCGGGGTCACTGGCGGGGGGCAGCACCGCCTTGCTGCCACACCGCCCCCCCAGCAGCTGCTCCTGGCTGGTGCTGATGTTGGTGCCGGCACTGGCGCGGGCGGCTGCGTCCCGCTCCGACAGGTAGCGGAAGGTCCTGCGAGGCTTGGGCGGCGGGAG